TCCACAGGTGAAGTAGTCTCCCCAGGGGCAATTAAAACATACACCAACTCCTATCTTGTGGTAATTTCCTCCATGGTTGAAGCATATGTGTCCAAAGAAGTGGGGTTAGACAAATCATTATGCAGTTGAGCTTTGGATTTCTAGTTAGGGTGGAGTTTATGACACTTGTCAAGGGTATGCTCAAATATCTTACAATGTGTACAATAAAAAGGGTCTATTTTCCATGAAAATTTGTTGTCAATGTTCATTATGTGTTGTGCCCAGCTAGACTTCTGTAATATCTGTTAAAGTGATATCTTTTTCCAGAAGTATTCTGACAACAGAAGGCCTGATTAAGTTGAAGATGGGTATATTTAGTTTCACATGATTCCCAAGAATAACCCCAATAGAGTAGAGAGTCTGATGATTAAATAGATGCAGTTTTGAACTAGGTAAATTAGACTATATTGGCACAATGGGAGATTCATGGTTTGGGTCAAAATCAGGAGACCACTTGAGCAACTTCATTGACTTTTCTGCAATATTAAGATATTTTCTAGAGACAATCTGAGCATAGTGTTCAGCCATGGTTAACTGAATCAACAGGGTTGGGGCGTACTTGCTATAGGACATTATTTTGAGCATTGAGACAACACACAAGTAGAGATATCAACGGTTCGATCTCTTCACCTCATTTGCCAACCTTGAATGTTTGAGTTAGAAGGTATCATTATTGAAAGTGACAAAGTCAACATTATTCAACTTTTGGAATCTTCAATGTCCAAGAACTTGTGGCAATGCCAACCACAACTTGCTCCGGTGTTTGTCTTCCTCTTACAGTTCAAACAATTTCTTTTTGTTCATATCCCATGGGAATGTAATAGGGCCGCCTATTTCTGTGCTACGTGTGACTTAAATGATTTTTTCTTTTTGATACATATAGATGATGATAGGGATATTTTTACCATATTTGTAGATTGACATGGCTCCTTTTTGTGCATTATAAATGCATACTTGTATAGCTTTTTGTACCTTTTTGATATAGTAATGCAAATGCATATTTTCAAGGAATGGCACCTTTATGTTTTCTAGTTTTCATCATTACGGATATATTAGGTTTAACTTTCCTTACAAGTAGAAATAGGTTTTTTTATAACTTGTTAACTACTTTTTGCAATCTTTAGTTTATTCTTTGCTTTCTTTCTAATTAAAGAGTTGTGCTGATTTCTTCTTCAAAAATGGTGTATCTATAGTTTGACCAATCATAAGTGGTTGGTTCTCCTTGACACCTGTATACCTCATACCTACTCGTTGGTTTCATTGTCATCACTATTTCTCCCCCAAACAACAACCACCTCCTTACTTGACATCCTCCCTCCATCCTCCTCCTATATTATAATGTGTTTTTTTGAAACTTTTTATGCTCTTTTGGACTAGTTTTTATTAAGTTTATTCTTTATTCTCTGCTTTAATTTTCTAAGTGGGGAGTTCTGCCATCTACTTTGAGCGGTGTGTTTACTGACCTAGCGTAACCAAAGCAAAATTGGCTTGCAAGTTCAAATAGTTGTGTCGATCCTTTATTCACACACACCTGGGAATGGCCCCTTTAGGGACTCTATTTTCCACAATTATGATTCGATTAGGGTTAATTTTCTTCTCTATTGTTAAGTGGTTCTTTTGAAACTTGTTATCAACTTATGGACTTGGTTTTATGCAATTAGAAGTTTACCCTTTGCTTTCTCTCCAATTAGAGAGTTCTGCTATCTTCTTCCTCAAGTGGAGTGTCTAAAGTTTGACCAATATAAGTGGGGGTTCTCCTCAGCACGTATATGCCTCATACCTACTCATTTGTTTCTCTTGTCACTTCTTTTTCTCCTCCAAAGAGAAACCACCTCCTTCTTCAACATCCTCCCCCCAATCCCCCTGCTTCCATATTATAATATATTTTTTTGAAACTTATGATCTTTTGGACTTGGTTTTCTAAATTTCTTTTTTTTTTCTCTGCTTTCTTGTTAATTTTAGAATTGTGCCTTCTACTTCTTTGAGTGGTTTGTTTATTGACTTTGACAAGAGATAGATCATCCTCGATGTGTATATACCTCCTACCTACTCACATAATTGGGACTCTTGCATGCCAGGTGGAACCGAAGCAAAACTGGCTTTAGAAGTCCAGATAGTTTTGTTGATCCTTGTTTCCTACCTGCCTGGGAATGGCCCCTTTATGGCCTCTATTCTCCATAATTATAAATATATTAGGGTTAATTTGCTTTTTTATTAAAAATAGGTTTTTTCTTCTGAAATTTGTTATCTGCTTTCTGAAATTCACTAGTCCAGATAGTCTTGCTTTTATTTTTTTGCTCTCTCTATTTAGAGAGTTGTGTCTATAATTTGACAAATAATTTGGTGGGCACCTGTGTACCCCATACCTACTCGTTGGTTTCTCTTGTGATCACTATTGCTTCTCCAAAGCATTTTACATGTGAGGGAAA